ACCTTTTTCTGAATTTTCTTCCTTTTCAACGGCGTTTTTTGGGAATTCCGGTTTTTTTTTAAATTTTTTCGCAATAATATTCGGAAAATAGATAACTTTTAACACATTTAAATGCAATAAAAAATATTGGTCGGAGTCCCCCTTTAAGTAATATTTTGAAATTTCTGTTTCAAAACTGTCCTTTCTGGAATAAATTTTCAATTTCCCTCGATTTGCCGAGAAAAAAACTACCTTTTTAATAAAGGTCCATTTTTAGAGTTTCGACTGTTTTCAACTGATGTGAAATCTTTTTTCTATATCCAAAGTTTGATAGAAGTCACTACAGTATGAATTTCAAATATATTCTAAAAGATTAATGTTTCAAAATATGCATTTTTTGGAGTTTCAAATATTTTTGACATTAGGTAGGTTCAACTTTGCTCTACAATTTTTTTTCACTTCTCCAATTTCTATAATAGATCTATCCTTAATGCAAATTTACTTAGTTCAACCACACCTACACTGCTTATTCTACTCAGTACTGCTAACAAAAAAAATGCCGACATTTTTGTCTCAAATACCTCCTATTGTTCTCAGGTATGAGACACAGTATCATGACTCATTATGAGAACTCGAAAGGAACAAAAAGATACGGTACCTATGTAAAAAGAGAGTCAATCATAGCCCCTCTAGTCTCGTCTTCAAAAACGTCAACAAATAAAACCGCATCTTTATGGTTTGGTCACTCAAGCGCACGTCCCCTCTCTTCTCTCCTCCCCCTTCTTCTTCTTCTCTTTTCTATGGATCAAGCCACGCCCACATCGAAGAGTCACAAACATACATACATGCCAGCAGCCCCTTGGTTTGGTGAGAAAAGAGAGGAGGGACATGTTTTACCTCTTTTTATTGCAAAAAAGGTTATGGACTTTTTTTGTTATGCGAACTTTTTTTTTCAGTTTCAATTTGGAGATGTCTTTTTGAAGTTTTTCCAAAAACTATGATTTTTAAAAAATTTTTTATCCGTTCTCATTTGGTTCATTTGGATTAGTTTTCATTAATTTTTACTATTTCAAAAACTTCATTTTCAAAGCCACAACACCTAAAATTCAGTTATTAGTTATCGTTTATTCGTTTTTGATCTTGTTAAACATGCACAAAGAAAATTGTCAGCTTTGTACTCCTAAAAAAGTTTTACGCATTTTTTCGAATTGTCTGAAGATTTCAGAGTGTACCAAACAGAGTTGGAGCTTCATTGTTGTGATTGAGAACTTTTTAGTAAAAATCCAATAGCGTGAGTCAAGCGGTTTTAAGAATACGTTACTCCAATTTCTGTCTTTATTTTTGTATTTTTGTTCTTTTTTCGTATCACGAGATATCTCATCAGGATGGAATCTCCCAAAAAAAAGCCAATTACAAAATTAAAGCTCTATATTTGTTTAATATACTCCAGAATTTTCATACGAATCGAAACATTCAGAACCAGGTTTTTCAGGGCTTTAAGTTTGATTACTTTCTCTTGAATAAATCAAAATGTGACCTTTTTGGTCAAGTCCGGTACATATATAGATGCTATTTTCAGTTTTTCAACCAAAAAATAAAAATTGCTGTTTCAAAATGCTCAGATCTTGTTTACATTTTTATGAGTATCTGGTGATTATGCAAACTAGTTTTCCCCAAATTTTTAAATTACTCCAATCACCTAAATATTTTGTTGTTTTCTTAAAAACTCCAAAACTCAGGGTTCATGATTTTCCTTTGACATGAAGCTATTGAAATTTATCTTTTTCATCAGCTCCTGAAAAAATCTTTGAAAAGTTATTTGAAAATTTACTGTTACAAAATTTTGATAATTCCATATTCATGTTCTATTGAAGTTGACAATGATTTAGGTGAGGAAAAAATATAATTTCAATTTTTTTTCTGGAAATTTCAAATTTTCGAACCCATTTTAAGCTTATTCTGGGTTTTCGAACATTTTTCCCCATTCATGAAATTTTCACCAAAAAGTTTTTTTTTCCGTTTCACAACTTTCATGTATTTTTCTTCTTTTTTCAACTACTGATCGGTTAAACATAGTCGCAAGTTCAGATCAACCAACACCTCATAAATGATTCCGATTTCCTAATCACCTGAAAAACAAATCATGAGGATCCCGGAAAACATTCTATCCCTAATCCCGATTCTTCTCCTTCAACTAGTTCAGAAAACCAGCGGCGGTGAACTAGTCGACGTTCAATTACAGGAACTACGACTCGGACAGTAAGCGCACTTTTTTATTTAAATTTGGATTGTTTTCCAATTGACGCCCTACTTTTCTCTGATTGGTTTTTTTATGTTGAATGAGGTTGTTGACACCCTCTTGACAGAAAAAAAATGGAGGAGCAAAAAAAGCAATTTTGAACATTCTGAATGGCTAGATGGTTTAAGGATGTTTAATGGGTGTCAGTCTTGAAAAAAATTCGGAAATGAAAAACTTGCACAAATTCTTATCGGTCCAGTCGACTGTGTCCACGTAACTCTCAGTTGGTAGCGGCGCCCTCTCTACAAGTTCTGCTTCTCAGAGGGCTTCTATTAAAGAAAATTGATTAAAAGCCAAAATTAAATAACACTGTTTCATAATCAAAAGAAAAACAATCAAAAAAATTGGATTATTCATTGTCCTAGGTATTTGATTGGTCCGATCTCTTTTTTTAATTTTCCTAAAAAAAGTGTTCTGTTTCCCACAGTTGGTAATAGGATTTGAGTGAAAATGAGAGCTGCTCCGTACATCATCGATCCTCTAAAAAAGTGATTATTTCATTTTTCACTTTTTTTCACAATCGTCGAAAGATTATATTTTTTGGATATGTGAAAGTTTAGTCGAAAATATAAAACAGTAATTCCTGGAATCAACGTAACTTTGTATTTTCTAGATTTCTTGTTTAAATTATCAATGTTTCATCCAGTTGTCTATTAGTTTTCATAAATATTGAAGATCTTCATGCAAAATCACCTTGGAAAATTATTAAGATCAGAGTTTACAAAGAAGTTCAAAAGAATTTGAAAAGTTGATAGTTCTCCAATATCTTCACTTTTTTTTATGACTTCAAATAAATTCTATTTCGTGTCACTGAAACAGTCAATTTCTTATTTTCCTCTCTCGACCTAAAAAAGTATCTTTCTGAGGAATACATCACTTCCTCAGAAAGATACTTTCAAAAATTGTATAGCAATTGAAATAGAGAGCTATATAAATTTCTTTTTGACCCCATTCCCATTCCCAAAAGTTCGTTTAATCCCAAAAGAGTGGTTCTTCTTCTTCTTCTTTTAGGGTGACCCCTGATTATTCATAAACCAAAAGGAAGGAAAAGAAACAGCAATTTTAAACATGCTCCCTATTCTTTTGAATATAAGGCATCCCGCTGTGACGTTATGTTTCGAAAACCAATATTTCGAAGCTTTAGAGAATCTAGGTAAAAAGCATAACACAAGTATCCTAGAATTATATGATGGCCACACCCAGATTGAATTGGTTTTGGTTTCGAAAAAACATGAAGGACACCGCGGCGGAGAATAGAAAAACACATTTGAATTTGCATGCACAATATGAAGACGTCGAATGAATGTTGAGAAAAGGAGAAGAAGAGAAAGTTCCGTCTTTTTTCGAGAATACGATTTGTCGGTTTAGAAGACATTGAGAGGGAACATGGAAAATGAACAATTGACAGATATCTATGCATGTTGGTGTGTTTGTATACAAGATATGGGTGGCTAAATAGGTTTTCAAGAGAAACTGCTTTCAATGTAAGATAATTCTAATTCACAGATATCGGAACTCACTGAAACAGCATTTTTTGAAACTTTCGATTTTTTCAAATTTTGATAGTAACAAGACGGAATTTCAAAAAAATTTTTTTTTATTAATTAGGGCTATTTTCATTTACCAGTGTCCAGCCAAATGAGTCAAAGGCTTTGCGAATTATCTGAAACTGTAAAGTTTAGGTCAAAGTGATTATAATCACTTCTATGCTGTCCATCGAAATCGCTATTTCAACATTCTCTGTTTCAAAATCTGCATTATAGTTTTGTGAAATAACCAAAATATGATAGGATGGCCAGCAACGTACCTAAAGAAGAAAATAACTCTAGCTAACTACATATTACTGAAATAAATAGGTTGGAACAGATAAATTACTAACCTAATTCTACAAAATCCAATTTTTTCTCAGTTTTTCAATTCCTCATTTTTAGCTCATTTTCCAGACTCGATATTCTGGTAAAAGCTTTTCGCATTAATCCAAACCCAAAGTATCTTGACTGCTATGTACTCCCCATAACATTCTCCCCGCTTCCTAATACATAATAACATACGGTTTCACGCCTCCCCTCTCAAATGTTTACCCCCTCGAATTTGACATGTTTGTGTTATTGAAAGGAATCATAATGTAATACGATGCGCGTAGCGCTTCTTGATTACCCATATATATTCCTTGGTCCGACTGAGAATGAGCAGGTGCTCCGTGGGATCATAGATTCTTAGATTTCGCTTCTTCTTCTTCTCTGATGCAATGTGTGTTTGTTCTATTTCGAAATAATGGTAATGAGAAAGGAGAAGATGACAAGTTTTGATTGACTCCTCTCGTAACCATATGGAGGTTCAAGGGAGTCTAATGCAAATACGCTCTAGCGGAATTTCAGATAGGCTTCTGGTAACAGATAGAAAATGCGATCTAGTTTGATGAAAAAAATCCAGTCTACAGGAATAACTGTCTCTTCTACACGCTGTTTGACATTTCTGACCATTTTGGAACAGTAATTTTCTAGTTCTCTGTCTTATACAAATTATAACCGTCGCTTTCAAATTTTCAAACGTATTTTTGGAAGTTGAGAAACAGAGATTTTGTCCCATGGATTACATTTCCCAATACATAAATCATCAAAAAGAAGAAGATGGAGCACTTTATGATCCAGTGCTCCCACTTGTCAAACTATTCCTTTCTTTTCTTCTGTCCGTTGTTTTTTGACACACAGAGAAGCACATAATGAGGGTGGAAAAAGAAGAAAGGAAGAAGGTATTTAATGATTTCCCCCCTTTCGTTCCTTCCTGTGACAAGTGGACCAAGGGCTGTTAACTTTGAAAGATGGGGAAAATGTGTGGAAAAATTAGATGGGGTCAAGGAATAATTCATTGGATTAGAAAGAGTGTGTCAGAACGAAAAAAAAACAATAGTTTTTGGTCTTTTTACTCTTTTTGGGTAGAGGGTTTGGGACCAGAAAAAGGGAATACAAAGATTTTAATTGTCTAGTTTCGGTAATTTTCGAAAATCATTGATCTTAGTACCCATCTTAGTACCCATAGTACCGGTTCTCAATGAAACATCCAAAGTTGAGGAATCAACAGTTTGCCAGCACAACTTGACAAGTGTCCAGTGGAGCGCATTTTTTATTCTTCTGAAAATTCAAATTGTCCTATTTGCAACATTGTTAAATTGTCGTCCGAAATCTGCCATCATCCTCACAAACTTTTTGAAATAGTAACTTTCAAGTTCTTCAAAAGTGACCACTTCCTCAACTAATATCATTTCCGTTAACAATAAACAAACAAATGATATGAAACTGCTCAAGGTGGTCTGGTAGAGGCATACTTATATAGAAAAAGCAAACAAATATAATAGATGGTATATGGATGCATAATATTTGGGGGTATTCTAACCTTTTTGTTAGTTATATACAACTGTCAACAACTATTACGTGATGGGGTTTGGGGGATCGACTAAAGTTTGGAAATCACAGGGAAAATGAAAATTTAGAGAAGCTGTTACATTTTGAAGGATATGAAACAATGCCACTGTCCTAATTTACATTTTTCAGAGTTATCCTGATTCTGAAAAATTGATAAAAAAGTCCAATTTTTTCAGAAGAAATGTGTGTCCTCACGAGGAAGTGGAAATTGTGACGCTCAAGGAGCCATGTGTGCAAGCATACACAAAATATGTCCGAAGTCGGAAACCTGGATGTAATGGGAAGTTTCAAAGTTGCGCGGTGCGACAACCAAAGTGAGTTTTTATAACATTGCGAAACTCCTGATATCAGTGATAAATGATAAGACTGCGGCCTTTTGGTTGCGGTATTTTTTGGGATGAACAGGATTTGGCGCCTAGAGTTAATGATTGGCTGAGCTACGGGAAGCTGCTCCCGGCCGACCACAGCTCTGTTTTTTATTGTTTTGAATGACATCAATCCTTCTATTGAGGGATTCGGGCATAAGTTCAAAGATAACAGTTAGTCGAAACAGAAATGCTATTAGCATCCCAAAAAAATTGCAAGGAAACAATAACCGTTTCAGTGAAATAGTAATTCTGGTTGAACTTGAGATGTATGCTCGGTCTTTTGAATTCATTTTCATATTTGTAGAAAGCTTTGGAATTATTTAGAAACACAAATTTCAGTTTTAATCGTTTGAATGAACCAGTATACTATTTCAACTATGAATAGTGAGTTTGAGAAATTTCCGAAAAAATTGTTTCAAATTCTCTTTATTAATTTTATGAGCGAATTCTTCATATTGCCATAAAAGAAAGAAAAAACTAAAAAAATTCTTGGGAATTTTCTGATTATTTAAGTTTGAGATTTGCCAGAAGATACCTTTTGATTTCACCCAAAAGTTTCCTGTTTCAATATACCCACTTTTATTGATTAATTAAGAGAGTTGAATATTAACAATAACTCAGAGTTCGATGCAAATATTAAAAATGGGTTTATCCCGATTCCTGTAGAAGATATCAAAAAGTGGTCAATTGGCAAAATTTTTTGATAAAATGATAAATAAAAAACAATTACAGTTTCATAGAAATTGTATTTTTTGATAAATTTTAGAAGTTCATTATATAGAACAATAGACAAAACACTACGAAACACCTTCTATTTTTGCTTTTTCAAAGTCTCAAATTTGCCGAAAAATCCTCAAATTTTACACAAAACGTTTCTGTTTCAACTCCTCCAAATTTGATCACATTTTAGGACGGAACGGTTCAATGAGAAGCATAACTTTGTGCATAAGTTTAGAGTTAACAATTAGTTGAAACAGGAATACTACCAGGCGGTTTAAGCCCCCTGTCGGGGGCTCAATATGATAAACAATAATATGATAACCATTTTGTCAGTTGCCCACTTTCTGTTATCTTTTACAGGAAATAAGATAAATTGGGTAAAAGTCTAAGGTACCAATAATAAACTTCTGAAAGTCAACCAAAAATTACTGCTTCATCGAAATGGTAATAGTTTGTTTTGATTTACTGATTCATTAAATTCAATTTTCGTGAATCATGTTAGTGGACATAGCGACTTTTCGACAGTGGCTTGCCGCGGCTGACCATAACCTCCATCACTCAAATCTTGCTGACACATGCGCGCGATAACCATGCATCCTAATGGGATTAGCAATCTTTATCTGCGCCTAGAACGTCCATGACCCCTCTCCTGCCATCTATAATTATTGCGCAACACCTCTCTTTGTCTTCAATATCCCCTTTTTTACAGGACAATCTACTTTCACACCTACAAAAAAGTCAATCGAACGAGACGTCACACGATTGCGGAGTGCTGTCCAGGATGGGTCCATCGACCGGGAGAAGCGGGGTGTCAGAGAGGTTGGTGCCATCTGGAGGGATGTTTCTAAAGGGCAAAGAGCATGATTATGTTAATAGGACTAGGGTTAATCTGTTCGGATAGAGATGGTGACAGTTGTTCATTTGTTTTATTACCCCCTTTTGAAGTGGGTCCCGCTTTGGCTAGTGAGTCAAATGTCAAGAGAAAAAGGGACCACTGTTTCTAATTTGTTATAAAAATAATGAAAAAATTCGAGAAGAGATAAAATTTCTCTTTGCATAGATCATAGTTTCGAAACAAAGTAGAAATTTATGTTTTTCTGTTTCAAAATCTTCAGAAAAATAGTAAGAAAGTTTGAAAAAGTTGATAAGATCTTTTTGTCAGAAGCATAGTTTTGAACATACATGGAGAGGCTCATAACTTGGCTCAAACTCGGAATTTCTGAGCGAATCAAAAAGTAAAATGTAGAACTTCAAGAGATCTACAAAATAAAAGGTAATTTTACTATATTTGTATTTGGAGTTCGAAAGAAAAGGTCTTGAAAAATCAGACAGGAAAGATCGGACCATTTGCTACCTCTAATTTGAAACTGGAAGCATTTTAATTTAGTATCGTTTTGTATATTTCGTCAAGTTTTACACTTTACTTTTTCATTCAAACAAAAATTCCAAGTTTGAACCGAGATATTACGCGGTCAGGTTGACAAGTAGAATTTCGAAAAAATGTGGTCCAATAATCACTGTATCAAGTTTCACATAAATTCGTCGAACTGTTTAAGCTAAATTTTTTGTTCAGAAGACAATGTTCCACTCAAAGATGTATGTTTCAAATACCTAGTTTCTATATTATGTCACTTTATTATCGGTTAAAGACGTTCAAACTCAGGAAATTGATCTCAAAAATTTTTCACTATTTCAAAATGTTGACAAAAATTGGCTAATTTTTTAAATCATTTATTCCAATGGTAAATTATGTAATTTCTTCTTTTTTGGATTCTTGTTTTACTATTTCAAACTTGTTAAAAAATTAGTGAGAAATTTGAAAAATTCGATAAGTTTTCATTGGCAAATGCGTAGTTTTGAACATACTTGGAAACGCTCATAACTTGGTTCAAGCTTGGAATTTCTGAGCGAATCAAAAAGTATACTGTAGAACTTGAAGAGATCTACAAAATGCTACAAAATGATATGTAATTCAACCATAGTTACTTTTCAGAGTTTGAAGAAAAATGTCTGGGAAAAATGAGACCGGAAAAATCTGTCCCTTTGTTGCACCTGGTTAGAGAATTGGCATTGAACATGGTTGAATTATATAATGTTCTGTAGATCTCGTCAAACTCCACATTTTATTTTTTTGATTCGAACAGACATTTCAAGCTTATACCGACTTATGAGGCGGACCAGAAGACAATTATGGTTTCAAAAAATGCGGCCCAAAAATCACTGTTTTAAGTAGCCCAAGAAATTGTCAAATATTTTGAGCGAAATTTTCTTTTCGGAAGAAAGATTCCTTCTCAAAAAATTATATTTCGGTTACCTAGTTACAATTTCATGTCTCACTTTGATGTCGGTGATGTTACTGTTAATTTTTTTAAAATTGAGTTACATTTTTTTCCCTATTTCAAAATTTTCACAAAATTGGCTATTTTTTTCAATTGGTCAATAAATTAAATATTATCAACCTAACAATTAAATTAATTTACATTTAATTCAAGTTTGAAAATTTCAGTTTACCAAAATCCCTATTAAAATTATAGAATAGTCATACTTGTAATCCGGGCCTTTGCCGGGCCTTCGCGGGCCCTGCCATAACTTCTTTCAGAATCAATGTTTTTGAACCAACTCAATCAGATATGATAGAACTTCACGAGTACTACAAAACGGTATTATTTGGAATGCTGTATCTTGTCTATGAACAGAGTTAAGGAGCAAAAGAAACAAAAAAAGCAGGCCCGGCCCGGGCCTTCCGGGCCCTGCGAGAA